CTTTGGGTTTTTTACCTAATATCAAAAGCTAATTACAAAAATTTACCCATAAAAAGTTAATTACAAAATACATCGACAAAGTTTGGGGTAACGTTGAAATAGGGCACGATATTTCAATTTTTTCACATTACTACCTGACGTATGAAAGTTTTAATAATTCGAATCATTTTTTTGTGTTTAATAAAGATTGGACGATTAAAAAATTGGGTTATAGCCGGCTAGACATAAGGGTGAATTGAATTGTTAACAATTTGATATTGTAAATAGTAATGTAAAATTTTAAAAGACGTTGTTCATTTTGTGAAAGTGACATCAAGCAACAGTGTACTTTGTAATTAGCTCTTTAATATTACATGAATTAGTTAATCAAGACAGTGTAACCTCCATATTACAGCCTAACTACTCCCTATTCAATAAAATAGGGTATGATTTTGTCAATAATAGTAATTATTATTATTATTATTGAAAGTTTAAGAGCCTAAGCTACATACCCATATCACAATTAACTAATTTTGCTCATCTTATTTATTTATTTCATGTATTATTAAGAAGGGGAGGGTTCGAAATTATTACAGTAATTTAAGAGATAGGGAGTTTCGAACCCGAGACTCATGAGTAGAAAGCTAATACTTTATCCACTAGAATATTGGACCACGTACTTTGCTCATCTTATGCTAATATGAAAATCATATTATGAATAATAATGGATATTATGAAGATACACCGTGAACGAAAAAGATGAATACGGTGTTGAATTTTTACCTTTGCATCCCAAATTCAAAACTCTCATCTCTCCTTATTATAATAATAATTTCGAGCTCCCTCCATTCCCTTAATAATAATAAAATTTTAAAAACAAAGAATGAACGAATGACGAAAAGAAATGGGTCAATTTTATGTCATTTTCTAGTGAAACTATTTGCCATATTGTTTTATTAGACTTGGGCTATTTATAGAAGGTGAAGGACAAAGACCTTGTTTTTTTGGGGTCAATGAAGGACAAAGACCTTGTTTATACAACCGCAACGTTTGCGGATTCTGCCATCTATGAATGTATATGTACACCATATAACATCAACACCTCTTTCCATTTCATATAATTTTTTGGTGACCCATCTCTTTCTGTTATTTTCTCTTTAAACTTCCTTTTCGATAGGAAAGGAAAAGTTACAAAGAAAAGCCGATAGGGCAAGAAAGCTACAAAAATTTCAAAACCAAAGCCGAAGGCACCTCAATAGGAAGAGTTTGCGTACAAGACAGAGTATTAGAGCAAAACTGACTAACAATAGCAAGAGCATCTGCCACAAAATTTGCTTCAAAACTTCTTCCTTAACATCAACTTTCTAATTCAATTTTCTTGACATTTGTTTTTTTTTTCTTATTGGTAAAGTCGGCGGATTCAGGATTCTTTTCTTGGGTGGGCTAGCTGAAATTAGTACCATAAAATCATATGTTATTTTTTTGCTTATAAAAAATTATATAATAATCAGTATAAAAGGTACATTCAAAGGTTACATTCATTGGAAAATTGCAATATAAGTAAGGAATTGCGAAGATAGGGATTTAATTGTTGATTTAAAAAATTTATTTTTCTTTTCTTGAGTAAGAAGCATAGAGGCTAAATTGCATAGGGTAAATGATCTTTTTCTTTAACGAATAGGATAAAAGGGGGATGGGAGATAGAATTAATTTATAATTTTTAGCATAAAACGTATTATTTACTAGGGAGTTTTAACGAAAAGCCCGCGGTACTGTTCATTTTAACAAAAAACCACATTTTTATACTAAAAAGTCAAACATGGTACTATTCACTTTACCCTTTATTTTGTCTTTATCGTTAAAACTCAAAGTTTTCAAGTTTTTTTCATTAGTTTTCCTTATTTACTACCTATCATCTACTAAATATACAATAAACAATAACCTGTATTGAAATTGAGTGGGCTATAAGTACGAGTTTACAAAAGAATAGTGTTGTCCACACACCCGTTTTTACCTCCAACACACTATTATTTTTTTTTTTTTGCGCTTGATAATCTTTGATTTATTCAATTCGATAACAGAAAATTGAGAAGGATATGTGAGAAGTAAAAATGAGTACATGGATATCACTATCCTTATAGAAAACCTCCTTGGACTACAGCCCACCTTAGCCTTGTGGGTGGCTCCGCCATTGGTACAGTGGTATATCCGATGTACGTAGTAGCAATTTTGTTCACATGATATGGATATATAATGTTTTATTTGGATGTTTATTGATTGCGAATAAAATGTCATAGTTCATAAGAAAAAATACTATGCATGCAAATTTGTATTCATTTTGGGATGTTCTTATTTGCGATCTCAAAAAGTCGTCTGCATTGCTTGCTAATTATTGAAAAATAAAGTAAGATGAATGCAGAAGATCTATTTTTAGAATACTAATAACAATCATCTTAATTGTATTCATTCATTAAATAAAATGGAAACATAAATCACAACACCGATACGAAATTTGTAATGATTTATTCATTAGATAAAGAAAAAGTGTAGCTGATTAAAATTAATTGGTACAGAGAACGATGATCTTCGTGCACGCTTAATTTCATTAGCCTCCTTCGCATTTTCCATAATTTGCATAAGTTTGAGGCCGCTTGGGATACATTTAATTTTCCAAGTTAGGTGCCTCATCAGCTGGAGGAGGGTTCTTCGAGCCTTCAACGCATTCACATTTTCCGTGAACACAAAATTTGATGTCACCAGGCGGACACTTAACTGCGAATTCACGATCAACATCTCGCCAACATTTGGCATCGGCAGCAGCTTCTTCTACTGCTGTTGCCGAGTTATAAGCCTCGACACTAGCAAGAGGAGGATCGATGATTACTTGGCCTTCAAAACACTTGCACCAGCCACGATCACAGTATTTGAGGCCTTCGCATATTGGTAGGAAGAAAAAGCAATCCACATCACGTCGGCATCGTTGTACGTCGACAGCCTCTGTCTCGATATTTGCTTCTACTTCTGCAGATACTCCTAATTAGTGGCAGAGCTAGAATTCTGAATGAGGAGGGGCCTTTCACAAATATATATATATATATATATATATATATATATATATACATGTATATATATGAGTGTGTGTAAAAAGTTGAATTCATAACATGTTGACATATGCAATTCGTGTAATCCTCACAAAACTGAAAAAAAATTCTCTTAAATTCAATACTAAGAAGAAAAAAAATGTAAAAACCCAAACAACCAAATAAGAGGTAGGTTGTGGAAGGCTAAAGAAAATACAAAGAAGTAGAAAAGAAGGAAAAGGGGGAGAAGTCTGTAAATAAAGAAGGTGAGTTGTTTTAGAAAATTATAGGGTGTATATTACTGTTAGGTGAGAGAATCGAACCAGAAATGGAGTTTCTTTTTCCCTTTAAAATTGCACATCTCTTTTAAAACTCCCCTGCCAAACTTATCGTTTCATTAGACAGCCGAAAAGATTTAAAATCAAAACAGCTTAACGACGTCGTTTGCTTCATCTTCTTCCATGAGGTTCACACCTCAGATGAAGTTAGGATGGGCCAGGGACTACCCTAGTCCCTTAGTGGCTCCGCCCCTGCTCCTAATAACAATATTGATGCACCTGAAATACATATGAACATCATGCAAATATATAAATAAGAAACTAAAAAGAGAGAGAGAGAGGGAGAGAGAGAGAGAGAGAGAGAGAGTTGAAGATAGCAAAACTGAAAAGGGAGACGAAGAAACCCTTTCTGAAAGAAGCAACAATTAGGGTTTATATTGTGAAATTTGGTTTTTGTTGTGAGCTTCTCATCAGGGCCGGTTTAGAGATTTTTGAGGCCCGGGGCGACGTAAAAAAAAGTGCCCTTACTTCATGTAAGAAAATTATTTATTTTCACACATAAGACATCGAAAAAATTATATTTAGAAAAACACTTCAAACTCAATAATAATAAGAAACTAAAAAGATTTTCGTTGTGAGCTTCTCATATGAACATATGAACATCATGCAAATATATTAATAAGAAACTAAAAAGAGAGAGAGAGAGAGAGAGAGAGAGAGAGAGAGAGAGTTGCAGATAGCAAAACTGAAAAGGGAGACGAAGAAACCCTTTCTGAAAGAAGCAACAATTAGGGTTTATATTGTGAAATTTGGTTTTTGTTGTGAGCTTCTCATCCGAGTCTGTCAACATTTTTATAGTGGATCATATGATATGACTCCATTTATGGTTGAAAATGAAAAGATGGAAGGTATTAATTAGTTTTAAAACAGAAATGCATCTTGCTCTTTGAAAAGAAATGTATCCCCATAATTTCCATTCGTACAAGTACGTTACGAGTGCACGCATTTTTCTTAGATTTTTATTGCATACTTTGAACAATAGGACCGTTATGCTCATTATTAAATTTGTTGAAGAGATTTGAAATATAACTAAAGTATATTTTTATATCAAGTGCTGAATCGATTACCATAAAAAAAATTAGAATACATTATTGGAACATAAAACTTCCATCAAGTAAAGCAAATGAAAAGCTTTCATAAAGTTCTCGTAGAATTGAGAATGAAGTTTTCATTTTATACATTCCATATCATATGAATTAGTAACTGCATCAAATCCTAAAAAAAATCCAATTATTTTGGTATTACAAAATAATTTAATATTACTTGGTGACAAAACATATAATTTTGTTTGGTCATAATTCTGGGGTCTTTTAAATTAGGAGCCCACTCCAATGTAAATAGCTTAATATGCTTTTATGTTAGACAGACATTAACAAATCAGAGTGGCGCAGCGGAAGCGTGGTGGGCCCATAACCCACAGGTCCCAGGATCGAAACCTGGCTCTGATAAGGAGTGACTTCCCGTTGTTCCCTTTTTATTTTTTCTATTCTTTCCCAGAAGCACTTTTGTACGTATCTTCTGCTTCTGCTTGTTGGGATAGCCTGTTGTATGTATCCTTTAGATTTCTTCTTCCCCAGAAGCACTTTTGCACACATCTTCTGCTCTGCTTCTGCTTTTTGGGATATAGCCTCTTGTATTTATCCTTGAGGAGAAGCATTTTAGTCAAATTTCATACATATCAGAATCAGATTCTGAGAAACACAGAACATATCCACGTTTCGAACATGTGTCTAAATGTGTAAATATAATTGTTCTTTTAAGGCTTTTTTGCTGTATTTTTTATTGGCTTTAGGTTCATGTAAAGATTCCTCTCCTGTCCTCTCTCTCGATCGTTTATATATATATATAAACATGAGTAGGCCAACCACCCCACAACTCCTTTCTCATCCATTCCTTCTAGCTGTCTCTTTCTTCTTCTTCCTCCTTTCCTCTCAACTATCCCATTGTCCCTCATGGCAGCTACAGCATCATCAAATGCTTCTGCAGAAGCACTTTCCAATCTAAGAATCGTAGTAGAAAGCAATCTCTCTGATTCACGATTATCTGAGTTGGGTATTAACTCATGGCCCAAGTAAGTCTTAATTTCGCTTAGCTTTCTCCTAATGAGATCACAGGTTATAGTTCTTCGTTTTCATGATCCTTTTCTTTAACACACAGGGGAGAGATTTGAACTCGTGTCTAAGGCCTAACCACATATATTGTTTTTCATGATGATCTCTCTCAAGTCTTGACACACTTAATTTGCTAGTTATACGTTGATTTGAAACTACTCTAGCTTGCAACTTGGAGAGAGAGATTCGAACTCGTGTCTAAGGTCTAACCACATATGTTGTTTTTTATGATGATATCTCTCAAGTCTTGACACACTTAATTTGCTAGTTATACTTTTGAAACTACTCTAGCTAGCAACCGGGAGAGAGAGATTCAAACTCGTGTCCAAATTTAGGACCGGCTACACTAACCTGACTATTTAGTTGATCCGTCTTTATGAAATATTGGTAATTAATTTGTTAGCTATTTACTTTCGAATATTTGATTCTGATTTGAGATATATTATTAATTTTTACGTGTAATATTTCAGATGGGGGTGTCCGCCTGGAAAGTACACATTGAAGTTTGACGCAGCGGAAACATGTTATCTGGTGAAAGGCAAAGTGAAGGTATACCCTAGAAAAGGCTCATCATCATCATCGTCTTCAGATTTTGTAGAGTTTGGTGCTGGGGACCTTGTGACCATTCCCAAGGGAGTCAGTTGCATATGGGACGTCTCAGTTGCTATCGATAAACACTACAAATTCGATTCTTCGTGATCATATCATCTTCATCATCATAATTAATTAGCTAATTAAGCTAGCCATCTTCCATTAATTATTGTACGTAGCTTCTGGTTTCTGTTTAGCTAATCATGAAATGCATGTAATTAAGTATAATCTCCCACACACTCTCTTAATCTCCAGTCGTCGGATCGAATGAGTCGAAGATGATCAAATTAAGAAAGATAACTTAGTAAGGGCTGCTGTAGGATAAAAAGATGTGTGGATAGTATGTAATTTTATTACTTATGCAAAATAGGCGTTAACAATGGATAATCTCTTATACGTTTGCAAATTACGCATTCAATTATGATGGGGTTTAAACCAGTTACGCATTCAAGCTCGTTGATGAAGAAAGTTGAATTCAAAAGGGTTTGCAATGAGAATGAATTTATTTACAGTTAATTCTACTTTTGTTAATGCAAGGCGATCTTACTCCATATGCGGATGAGATTATGATTTTATGGTGGTGCCTTTTCCTTGCTTTATTGACCGGTAAGCTTATTTTTAGCTAGGTTGTTGACCAAAAGCTTGATTTTTTAGGTAGGATCTGTATCTTGCAATGCAATGCAGCTAGAAAAGCCCTCTTTTTGTAACTTTATGCACGTGAAACCATGCTTAAATTTTCAGAAATCACTTTTTTGACAATGTGAACATGCAAATAATACAATGACAAATTAACAATATATCACAAGCAAAAGCAGAAAAAAGTTCACTTTCAGTTGCTCTCCCCCAAAATGCACACGATTCCAAATGTCACATAGGTTTTTGTCGTCAGACTTTTGACTAGGGATCGAGGGTCCTTATGCATCGTCATCTTTTACTATAACACACATGAGAAAATAGGTCGGCAAGGACGGTTCTGGTCTACTATTTATAATTTTATGGGTGTATATACCCCTTCCTTTGGTCATTTTAGCAAGGAAAAATTAGTATAGGTCCTTAGTTACTAATGTACTTTGATTGAAACTTTATTAGTTTTTAGATTTTGATTAAGGTTCTTAACATTAATGCAATAATGAATTTACATATCAGTTACATACTTTTTAAAATAAAAATTAATAATTGATTTAGGATATTATAATACTAACTCAATTTTAAAACTAATATCAAATTCAATTTCCAATTAAATTAATTATAAATAAATAATTAGAATAAGTTTTGTACCCATTAATTTTTTCTAACCTTCTTATTAAACCCATTCATGTAATTTTCAAATTTTTTAATCTTAAAATGTACCCATTCTTAAATATACCAATGTTTTGTAGTAAATAATTTAATTTTTTATAAAAATATTTTTTAATCTTATATCTTTGTAATTTACATCTTTACATTCTTGATTTGATTTAGAGTGTATTTGACACACCCCGTCCCGAAGGGGGCATGCTGGCGCCGTCACGTGAGTGAGAGTGACGTAACCATTTGCGCACAGTACGGAAGCTTTAAGATACAATTTATAAGTTGATACACCCGAAGGTGAGTCCTAATTTTGTCCATTTTTGTCAGAACACCGTCGAATTCCTCGTAGTCACCACACCTTTGTGATTCCTGAACCTGGAGGGGCGCAAAACCAAAATTGAGTGGGTCAGTTAAAACAATTATTTTCCAAATCCAAACACATTTCTTTAAACGTTTGTAACCCCTCTCCGTAAAACCTGTAATACTTTCCCAGAAATGTAAAAATATAAATATACATATATATTCTCCAATACTTCAATTCATTAACTCAACATTTTTCATTTTCAGTACAAATATGCCATGCCATATCGGAATTCAACAGTTAAGTATGAATGCATCAACAGTAATTATATCAGGTGCAAGAAGTAATCAACCGGAGGCCCTCTAATAGCCCTGTACGGTTGAACCTAGAGCTCAAAATCTATCACTCTCACTCTGCCGGAGTCACCTCTGTGACCTGTACGGCCTTCTGCACATAGGTTACACTCTAGTGCTTCTCTCATCAATCATCTGTGCACATAATCTAAGGTCACCCACCAGTCGAAATCTCACTAACACTCTTCGACTAGCCCGTCGCACCCACTCCGCGTGGACTGTGCGACCAGCATCTACTTGGATCCAAGGCGAGCGTGCGATGCGGTGAATACTATAAGCACTAAACTATGGTGCATGATTTGAGCTTAATATACATCAACATCATCATAACAGTAATTAAATACTCACCTGATACTCACCTGTGCGTCCGCCGCACCATTCATTCATATGCATCATATCTCAATTCATACTTTTCATATCATTTCATGCATGGCAATTCGATTCACATTTCTATATACTTTGCATATAATTTTATGCATGGCATCTCAATTCACATTTTTCGTATAATTCTATATACTTTTCGCATACTTCTATGCATGGCATTTCAACTAATATATCTCATATACTTTTATACATTTTCATTTAAAGCATAATTTCATGCATTTTCAATTTCTGGGAAAACGGTAAGTATATATGTATACGGAAAACAAAACTGCCCACTCACAGAATACATCGACGTGTCGAAGGTCCCTGAGCCTCCCTTAGCCATGCCCAACGTCCGTATAATCCTTGCCTATACGAGAAGTAACCAAATTGACGTTATTTAACGCCTAACCCAATTCTTAGCTAATAACTCCTCATATATTGCTCCAATTGGGTATATGAATATACCACCGTGACCTACACAACCTCAGGATCATCCCCATATTTTTAAAATAATTTTTGGAGGTCTCACGCGCCCCCACGCGCCTGACGTGGCACGGACCTACGTGCCCCCCACGTGCGGCCACGTGCCGTGCACACTGACGGCACAGTAACGGCAGTTAGGGAATATTCCGTTAAATCCTAGCATATTCCGTTAAATAATTAACGGCGGCAGTCACGCCGTTAGCATATTCCGTCAAAACTGACGGAATATTCCCTGTCTTCTCCGGCGATTCGCCGGTTGCCAGCGACTGTTCGCCGGTTTCTGGAAAAATTTCAAACTTGCTATTCTCCTTCGTTTTTCATCCAAATTTCTCGAATTGTACACCAATTTGAAGCCCTAAACATCTACTTTCACGTTGGACTAGTTTTAGGGTCTAAAAACAACGGGATCAAACTTTCAAAAATTCAAGAAATCGGCCTACCTTCGAACTAGGTGATCCCGACGTCCAATTCATGCCAACGAAGCACTCCGAGCTTCCTTGGGACTTAAGCTCACTGTGAGCTTGGTTTCACCTAAAACAAAGCCAATTCGAAGTTCGTGAACAGTGCAATATTACGGTGACATTGAAACTAGGGTTTTCCGAAGTCAAACTTACTTGAAATGGGTACCATCGTGATCGTAGAGGTTCCAGGAGTTTGATGGTGGTCTTAACTCCGTCGTTGGTATAGATTTAGGGTGGTTTTGTGGTGGTCCGTGTGAGTTCGAAGGAGAGGGAGAGAGAACTGAGAGTTTCGTGAGGGAGGAGAGAGAGAGACAGCATGCAGAAAATAGGGAGAGGATTGAGGGATGTGGGGATCCCACGTGGTCCTTTTCCAATCCCAATTTCATAAATTCCAACCTAAAAATCCAACTTAAGCCTAGTTTAAGTTCCTAAAACCAAATAACTTAGGAACTTTAAGTAAAACCAATTGTTAAATTTTCGCCCCTTAGTCCCGTTTAAGGGCATTTTCGTCTTTTCACGTCCTCGGAATTAAAATTCCGGGACGGGTTGTGACAGTATTCATGTCAAGTTTAATCAAATAAATTTACTAATGTTATTAAGCCTAATATCTATTATTTTTTGTGTGGTTTTGAAGAATGTACCCATATTTTGGTGCAATATATTTTTTGTTAATTATGATGACTGTACTCATGTTTATACACACACAATATATTGGAGAGTATAATTTATATTTTAATAATTTTAATCCACAAATTATGGGTTTTTTATTTATTTAAAATCTCATTAAACAACTATAAATTTCAATTTTTAATTTAAAAAATATAGTAACCTACATAGAAATACATTATCAAATTAATTTCAGGAACCTTGATCAAAAATTGAAAACCCACAAGGTTTCAGTCAAATAATATTGATACTTAGAGATCGCATCCAAAGTGTCCATTTTAGCAATCTTTCCCTTGAATTCGAATCTTGGAAATTATCCGAATGCATGGAGGTGTTCTTGTGTATGTCTTGAGCAGACCTATAAAGTGGTATAAAAGTAACTACCCTACAATTCTTCAAGTTGGAAGTTTGTGATACAATTACAACTATCGTATATGTTTATCTCACTGATCAATGAGTCAAATGAAGGGTTGAGTTGGATAAGAGAACATTTTTGGATAGTGCCTTCCGCACCACGTTGTACATCTGTTTGGGACATACACCGCACAAAAATCGTCCTTAAATTCGTGTTTACTAATATAGTTCGTTTAAAATTCCTAATACAAAGAGTTTCGCTTTGTATATGTCTTAGCTACGTGTCACATTAGTGCTCAAGTAAGGATTTCTTTGAGTCGGGTCTTGGTTGTGGATTAGGGAGAGCATCGTATATTTGTCCTCTTTGCTTCTTTTTCGTTACGTGTGAATGTGCTTATAATATTTGATCATATCATGCGTACGATGTCTTTTTATATCTTTGGTTCTGCATGCTCTCAATGCCTCGAACCAAAGAAATCAGCTCAATATTCGTCGGTCGTCCTCTGAAACATGCCATTCAAGGCCCCAGGCTTACAAAAACAAAAGACATTTCATATCATATTTAATGTTTGTGTCATTTTCCGAAACCCGTTCATACATGAAACCTAACTTCGTGTTATTCTTATCGCACCATAACCTCGAAATTCATGGAGGACGTTCAAAGGGCGTTATGCCTGCCGAAAATATCTTATGCCGACATTTAAATCATATAGTATAAATCATATAACATGGTTGTTAATAATTAGATTATTACTTAAGTGTTAATTAATGTGTTAATTATATTTTATTGGTGATACGTCATATAATTTGCAAATATGATCTAAAAAATTTGTCTGCCTAACATTACTCTTTTTATTAATTTGCCTATTTTCCATATTAGAGTTTTAATAAAAGATATATATATATATATATATATATATTTTTTTTTTTTTTTCTTTTTCTTTTCAGTAATGCGGTAGCATAGT